CCACATTCTGTGTGTATGTGCTTGTCTGTTATCTCTTTGGACTAGGACTAACGAAAGCTCTGGCTTAGGTACAGTTTGTTGTTAAACGTTAGATAATTCAAATCTGTGTCAAAACTGATTTTTTTTTTTTTTATTGGATATTTTTTTACTATTAATACTGTACAATCAGAGTTATGTATGTTTTAAAAAGTCCTTGAGGAACAATAATAATAACAAACTCCCATTGTGTGTCACAAAAAAAAAAAAAATTGCACATCCAACATCCCGCACTCATAGAAATAAAGTAATAAATCAATTAATTGCTAGTTAGCTGCAATGTACACAATTGCAACTTGTCTCAATCAGTCATTCTTTGTTGTTTTTAATTCAACTAGGTTTATTTAAACTACTTTTAAGTTCTAAAGCATGAATAATCGTATTTTATGCCAGGGTTTGTTTTAAGCCATCTCTAAAGATGTGCAGAACGCTGCTGCCCTGATTTTTAACAAACACATCCAGACGTGAACACATTACTCCTGTGCTGTCGTCACTCCACCGGCTTCCAGTCCGTTTAAGAATCTATTTTAAACTTCTGCTGTTTGTTTTTAACGCCATTCATGGCTTTGCCCCCTCTTACTTGTCTGAGATTTTAACTTTCCGCAATTGTGGCAGAGGTTTACGCTCCTCGGGTCAGCTTCTGCTAGAGGTCCCTAGGTCAAGACTTAAACAGTGGGGCGATCGTTCTTTTGCCGTCGCTGCTCCCAGACTGTGGATCAAACTACCCCCTGACATCCGCACCACTACTGACCTCAGCCTTTTTAAAAAAAAGCTTAAGACCCACTTTTTTAATTTAGCTTTTAATTCTGACTATAATACTGTCTCTTAGATGTCATCTTTCCGTGTGCTCCTTTCTATGCACCTCTGGAAGGCTTTTAATGTCCTGCAGCACTGCACCACTACAGCACTTTTAATTGTATCTTGTATGTTTTTATATGTGTTATGTATTGTTTTAATGGCTTTGTTGTAAAGCACTTTGGGTACCATTTGGCTATTGTAAAGGCATTTTAGAGAATTTGGCAGTACATCCTACCAGCCTCACAACTGCAGACCTCATGTAATCACGCCAGCCCAGGACCTCCATATCCAGCATGTTCACCTACAAGATTGTCTGAGACCAGCTACTTGGACAGCTGCTAAAACAATTGGTTTACATAACCGAAGAATTTTTGCACAAGCTGTCAGAAAACATCTCAGGGAAGCTCATCTGCATGCTTGTCACCCTCATTGTGGTCACCAATTTTCTCCAGTTTGTTGTCGTAACCGACAGACATATCACCCAATGAGCGTGTTTGGATGCTCTGGATTGGTGTATACGACGGTTTGTACCAGTTCCTCCCAATACCCAGTAACTTCGCACAGCCATTGAAGAGGAGTGGACCAACCCTTCCACAGGCTACAATTGACAACATGATCAACTATTCAACTTCCCATCTATGCCTCTTTCTGATATCCTTTAGCCTTCTTCATGTGTAGGTTATGTTCAAATTTTTTGTGATTTATTAAGCCAGAGAGCCAGCAGGCCTTTCTAAAATATAGTGAAAATATAGACAAATTGAATTTACAATTTAAGCAAGTACAACAATATTTTCACACAGTGTCATAATGTTTTAGATTGGTTCTTTTTCTTTTGTTAATTAAGTATTCATTTAAAACACTAACTGCTCTATTTACTCAGGTTATAACAAAACAGCAAACATGCACAGAAATAGTCTATAATGGATACATTTCTACAATGCTGTACTTTCTGAAGCTGTTCACAATAACCACAGGGATGAATTGATGAATGTAGGATGGGTCAGTGGTGGAGGTGCTTACATCCTTTTTTCCAATTTGAGCAAACAAGTTTTACAAGATCATATTGTATTATTATTACTAGAATTTTAATATGTCAGTACTCCATATCTAAAAGCTGGAAGTTGTTCTCTTTATATTTAGATAGTTTTACTTCATTAAATGCAGCTTTATGAAAAAACTTAACTCTATGGGGCGCTAAACTGTCATTACTATGTTTGTGTGTATGTGCAGTAAAGCGACACATACGTGCTGAAAAAATATTTGGTTGTGTGATGTTTTGATTTTGCAAATGTTTCAAACTTTTTTCTACCATGTTGCTGGATGCTGAACTCAGGTCACTAACAGATACGATCGTGCTAACCTTGCTGTATGCGGAAGTTTCTGCTGTAAATCTGAAGTTGTAGAATTTTGTGCTCTCCTCAGCCTTGAACATATTCTTTGCTAAACAGGTGCTTCCTCAGATTAGAAGTACTTCTATCACTTGCCTTGCACTTTGCATCACATATATATTGCAGCGAGTATATTTTGCAGCACATTATAAAAGGGAAACCATAGAAGAGGCGTGCATTTTCTATTAGCCATGCTGGCTTTGCTTACTGTAGCAGCAGCTGCTGATATCATCATGCCCTAGTGCATGCAATGCTGTGTTCATGTCTCACATGGAATATTGCCCACTCCTTACTCCGTCTGTGTCACACTAATGCATATATGTAAAAAACATGGGACCTTTGATTTTAAGTTAATAGGTAGTATAATTCTGCTAGTACTACAGTAATTCGTACAGCACCAATAAAGGTGCAAAATTCAGGACCTATCCCTAGCCAAAACCAAGATATTAAAAGTAAGGTTAGTTTGCCATCTGATCAACCCTATCCACTCACACTTAGACATAAGTCTCAATTTCTGATTGTTTCAATGTCTTTTCAGCCATCATTTCCTCTTAAACTTTTAAACTTTTTGTCAATTCAATTCAGTTCATTTGTATAGCGCCAATTCACAACACATGTCATCTCCTGGCACTTTACAGTTCACCAGATCATACAGTCAAACTGATTCATAGTTTTCTATCAAAGGAAAACCAGTTGATTGCAGCAACTCATTGACTCGAATGCAATCCCTTAAAACATCTCAACATTTCCTTATAAAACAAATGTTGATATTTTTCCTATAGAGCACATTGTAATTCATTTTTAATAAATACTGTTAAAATCTCAAAGTTATACTCTCCTATTGCAATTATTAGGTCTTTAAATAGCATTGAGCTATGAATTAGGGTAGGTGTTATTTCAAGATGACAGTTGGTTAAAAAGAGGCCTGGCATATGATATTGTTATCAAATACTTTGAAGTTAATAATAGTATCAAACTAAGATCCTTAAAGATTTTATAGAGCATATCATTAGCAGAAATACAAATCAATGAGAAACGGTTCCAAAAATTATTAAATAATGTGTCTTGTCTATCCCATGGTTAATTCATATGAAACATATTCAATTTATTTAATTAAATCCACAACACGTCATCTTACTGCACTTTACAGAGACAATACAGTCAGACTGGTTAAATGTTTTTGTCAAGAAAAAACAGTTCATTGCATCCATTAATTGACATGCAAAACATGCTCCTCCTGGATGAGCTTGTGGGGATGATTTCTACTAGCTGTTTGTCCTTGACTCCTCAGCAATCCCTCATCCCGAGCATGCATGTTGGCACAGTGGAGAGGAAAAACTCCCTTTTGAAAGGAAGAAATCCCAGCAGAACCAGGCTCTGTGTTAGCTTTCAACTGGGGTTCAAGGGGACAGAACTAGACATACAAGAAAAAGCAAATATAACATGGTTGATATGTTTTGAGTTTTTAGTTATTAATAATATGACTCATAAGTTTGAATTGATGAACTTACATTCACTTTTATGTTTCAATGCATGTAATTGCCTGAAATGAATAAATAAACATTAGATAAATATTATTAATAACAGACTTTATCATGAACTTTACAATGTATTGTTACTGTGTCATACCAAACAAGTGGTTGGTCAGAGAGGAAGGGAATGTAACAAGTGTCAATCAATTCCTTTTTTAAATACTTCCTATATGTCAATGGTGTTTAAAACCATCAAAGATGCATGGTTTTTTAACCTATAGAAGTAACTTAAGCATGCATTCAGTGATAGAGCACAATCTTGTGCAATGTGTAATTGATTTTGCAGCGTTAATTTTTACAGAACATGCATGTAACAATAGTGAAAAGAAAAACCTTCCTTCAAAAGGAAGAAATGTCTTGCAGAGCCGGCCTAAATGTTAATGACCCACTGCTATCACTAACTGCAGGTTTGAGCACACAGACTAAACACAAAAGATGCACAGAAACACTGGTCCAGAAGAACTTTTTATTTGAGAGGAAACTATAAGGGTGATTGCAATAGTACCTCCTAAAGTGGCTCTATCAAGGAAAAAAACACAGCTAACCAGATAGTCGAGGTCTAGAAGATAAACGAGCGCAAATACAATTATTCACAGTAAAAGCTCCAGCAACAGCTATGTCTAGGTGAGAGACAGAGTAACTGACTGTAAAACAGAATCAAGTATATCTATAGCAGAACATGAGGTCAAAAACATCAGCAGCTCATCCAAAATTTCCCTACATGAAGCTGTCGCAGCTCAGCAGAACAGCAGGCAAGATGTGCTATGGAGGAAAAAAAAAAATTAATAAAAAAAACAAGGTCACTAAATTTAAGGTGAAGTCATGTTTACCAAATAGTGATCAAGGATAAAGACAGAATGAGAGAGAGAAATATAGATTCGGGGTAGGTAACGATTACAGAGTGAACTACTACTGAAAATTTTATGAAGACAGATTTAAATTGTGCGTTTAAAGTTTAAGCTCAATTTATCTGGTCTTAAAATATAGCTTGTTTTTTCACTGCTTCTCTTGGTGTCTGCTCTGCAATCCATGCTCCTAAAATTAAAAAAACATGTATGTAACAAAATCTTAACAAAATGGTAATCTAGAAAAACACAAAGTTGTTTATTCCCTTTATTCTGAGATGTAGCAGGTACTGTAAGCAAGAGTCATAACTTTAAGACTTTGATTTTACTTTTCAGATGATAATTCTTTTCCTATCTTTCTCACCCTTCTGCTCCTACTTCTCTGCTTGATTCACTCATAGGTACATGATGAATGTGACATGGGATGGCAGAGACTTGTCGTTCACAGAGGATGGCTACCAGGAAAACCCAAAGCTTGTTGTTATCGTTCTCAATAAAGAAAGAGAATGGGAAAAGGTAAGGCCAATAAGCATCTAAACTGGTTCAGTTTATGTGTTTGTATCACCAAATTGTATTAAAAACATAGTTTTTAAATTATTGCTAATATCATTAAGTTTCATATAATTAATTTTAGAAATAAATTATATTAAGATATTTGTTAATTTTACCTGTGCCACAAAGAAAGATTTCCTGATGGACGTCATATGATGTATCATTCATCAAAAAAATTTGGAGTGATAAAACTAAGATATATTTGTTACAATAAAAATTTAAAGAGAACTATTAACATTTTCCAATCAAAACAAAAGCAAAATTATCACAATGAATTACATTCATGTTTGTATTTAAAAAGCAAAGCTACGGTTCAGTGTACGTAGATATTACTTGGTCGTTGAATTTCAATAGTATAACATTTTCAGGGGAAAGGGGAAAATATGTCTTGAAAAGACTGGGTTTAAGCATCACAGTCTGCATTCATTCATTTTATAAGTTGACTAGCAAAGTCAGACTTCTTTGAGTCAGGAGGTGTATATACATACAGCCAATAATTATATTATTCTCAATAAATGCTGCCTCTCCAGAAAATGCAATTAATTGTTAAAGGTCAGATCTTTTTTTTTTTTTTTTTAACTGTTATTCAAAGGAAAATACCCCCCTGTGTATTTTTTCTACATACATATTATTATAATTGTTTAAAGTATAATACTCTAAGGTATCTTTGTATAGCCACTATTCTGAAATGCCTATAACCAAAAAGAAAACTTAAGGTCTTAAATAGCGCAAGTTGATTTATTTTCTTATTGGTACTATGGAAATTTATGTGCAATGCTCATCAATTTGTGACAGGAAATAAGTTAAATGGATGCTCTAAAGCACTATTTAATACATAATTTGTTTAACCAAGACAATTCTCCAAAGGGAAATGTTTACCCACTTTTAAGTTACCCTGCATAGCTTTTGACCCAAATATTACCTTAATTTGAGATGTATTAAATTATTTTTTTAGGTCAATATACAGCCAACATGTGATAATTCCCTTTAAAGTCTTCACCTCTCAAAAACGAATTTATGTATCTAATCCAATGATGAATGGGTCATGTGATCTAGAAGGCTGCTTTACAACAGTCTGTCCTGCCCCTGAACGAAAGAGCTAACTAGGCTAAGAGTTGTTGACACATACTTGATCAGGTACATGTTGAATTCTCTGATGTAGGATTTATTCTAGAGATTGTCTCTACAAGTAACCCGATGACGTATCATTACTGGTACGAAGTGGTCTGCTGTCAGATTCCAACACATAGAAGGAGATTTTTTATTTATTTATGTATTTATTTTTCTGAAGGGATACTTTCAGGGTTTCTAGTTTTAACCTAGTTCCCCAAGTGGCTAAAATTTAAGAAGATCACAACTTCTTGTCATCAACACAGTGCTGTCTGAATCTATGTCTACTTTCTCATAAATTTTGCAACATTCTTTAACATTGGACATACTTTTTTCTTTTAATCCTAAAATTTTTATATTTTGTGATTTATTCAAAAATCAATGCATTGAATCATCAGAAAGATCTACATATTGACTATGAGACATGCCGTTTTTGGTTTTACACTCTCAGAAGTCATCATACAGGAAATTGTGTGTACGGCCAATCCAGGAAGTATAAATAAACTTTATATTTGAAACTTTATCTGTGAATATATACTTGATTAGTTACTTTTCTTTAAAAAATGAACTATGGATTTCTTTTGAGGACCAGCATGGGAAAGGTGCTTTGATAAATGGCCATTGTAAATTCTATTTTAGATGCTGTAATGGACTTCAAATGGCAGTCATGCATCTTTATACCTGCATTGGGCTTCCTCACACTTCCCTAAATATCCTACATTTATTGTCTCAATAATTCATGCCATGGCACAATTGAAGGGACAGTTTTTAGAGTAGTATAGTAAAGGAAGTGTGGATATGGAAAAGAGTCCAATAGGAATGGAAGGAGTGATTGTAAACTAGTTTCAACCTGTTTTGTTTTCATTCCCTGTGTCAGATTCTCTAGGTTTTAGCCATAATTTCTATTTTCCCAACAAATAGTTGAGTTTTATTATTTTTTTTTATAGTGCCCTCTTTTCTACATCCCTCCTCCATTGTTCTCCTTCTCCCTGTCCTCCTTCCCATTTGTCTCTAAGCCCAATAATCTGTGTACTCGGATGCTGGGCTCTCCTATAGCCCCTCAGAGGAGAGTTAATCAAAACCTGAGGGGTCTGTTATCAGGCTGGCAAAGGGTCACCACTTTCTTTGTACTGTTTGCACAGGTGTGTTTTTTTCTTTTAGCACTGGCAATCAACAGAATCAAAACTGGATATTAATAAGACTTGTGTAGCAATGATTTTGGTTAGATTTAGGTCATATAATTTTGTTTGTGCTTTATTTGAAAGAACTCTTAGTGTTCAACAATGTTTTGGAGCAGCTTTTTCATGATTCATCCAGACACACAAAACCCTTTGTTACTGATTCGACAAGTAGTGTGTTGTAAACAGAGGGTCTGTGAAATTGATCAGTGCCACCTCCCTTTGGTGCAGACGATTACTCTGAAACCCAAAGTGGATGCATAATTAGGAATGTTTTTGTCTCCACCCAGTGCTGCTGTCCCACTCATGCACAAGAAATCAGTGGCAAAAAATTACTTAATAGTGATCAAGAAGAGATTAGTTCTGTATATGCACTGAAATTTTAATATAAAAAATTTTAAATAGGAATATGCTTCCTTTGGGATGTGAAATGCATGGGGGTAGAGGAGAGAAACTGTAATAAAAAGCTTGGTTAACGTAGTAAGTGGAAATTAAGGAGAATGGCTCAGATAATGGAAAAGAAAAATAAGAGAAATAAGAAATGAGGGAAAACAAAAACAGAGGGATGGTAGCTAAACGGATGTGCAAGAATTGTCTTCATTTAAACCCCTGTGTTTAGCACTCACATGTTTAAATATTCTGCCTCTGCTTCTCCCTGCAACATGCTGAAACTATGTTTGCTAAATGAGGTTATTCATGAGTTAGGGGACATCTAATATAACCTCCAAAAATTAAGAGACATGAAAGCTGCTCCTCCTCTTGCTTTATTAGGTACACTTTGTTATAAACCTCCATTTAATATTTCAGATAGTGTATTATTTTGTTACATTATGTATTCCCTCTTTTATGTATCTACCAGAAGACTGAAATGTCATTATCATAAAGTGATAGGTATGAGCAGCAACCTTACTTAGGAATAATATGGATAGATTGTGACATTTAAACTATGGTCAGTTATGTTTGTTTTTAGTTTTGTTGACTCACATGCAGAACGATATGGAGAATCCGTAAATTTAACATTTTATTTACAAAAGCAACATTAATCTGGAAGCAGAGAACTGGTGGAGGTCAGTTGAAATTTCTTGTTGGTTTGCCAGATGAAGGGGGGGTAGCATGGATCTGTAGGGGTTTGATTCAGCGGACTTTGCAGACTGTACCCCAGAGGTCCAAGAGAATGTGAGTGAGATTCAAGTGCTTTGGTACTTGAAAGAGGCGTCATGCTGGAGAGCGGGCTGGCAGGTGATGAAGACGGAGAACTTCTGCACACAAGTAAGACCTTATCCATGAAGAACGGAGATGAACTAAGGTAAACTGTCTGGAACAATAACAGAGTCCACATTAAAATAGATTCACAAGGAGACAGATTTCAACAAGAAAGATATTCCTGGTCTTTGGCTGGAAAACAATCAGGGATAATCATCCAGCAAAGAGAGATGATCCTTCACCTCCTTATATACACACTAGTCATCTTGATTGAAAAATTTTCTCAGGTGTGCAATAAATAGATATATATGCCAACTTTTTGCACAAACACCATCATCCTGATTCTTTGATACAAACCGGGGTGGATCCATACTTTTATAACTTCTAGCTTAATGTAAAATAGAGAAAATACTCATCAGTTTGTAACACATCCGATTAAGCAGTACTTCTAAGTGTTTCTTTTCTAATTTTTGGAAGTATGTGTGAATCATGCTCTCATATCTTTTTCTTAACTGATAAGAGAGACACCTTTAGTGATATTTTTCTGTAGAAGCCCTTCTTCTTCGCAGTTTATCATAATGTCCATTGAGAGATGGTAGTCAGCATACTTTGGATTTGAGCTACATTTACTTCCCTTACGCATTGAGTTAACACGTATATTATTCTCTGATATAAGGGTTAGGTTTAAAATAAGGTTAGTGTAACATTTTCTTCCATAAAACAGCTGCTAACTGGCTACATTCCCTTTTTTCAGGTCATTTTATTAAACCTCAGATGATCATGCTGAAAAAATACCAATATATATCAGCAGTTTCTTAAATAAAGACAGTCTTTGCCCCAACGACCATCCAATGTTCAAAGTCAAATTAACTGCTATTCTTCCTTTACTCCTTGATCATCTCAGCCCCACAACACTAGCCTCGTGAGACAATCCTGATCTCGCGAGCTTTCAAGGTTTCACTCGCAGATCAGTCTGGCTACTCTCCGTTAAAGAAAATTTGGAGCCATTCCCCAAAGGGACGTCCAATCAGCGTTGGCTCTGAGGCGGGTTGAGGTGTGACGCAACGAGAAGCGCGACAGTTCAGTCTAAAGAACATGGCGGCTTCAGCCGATGAAACTAGCGTTA